TTTACGATGTGATACGAGATTTGAAAAGGGAGAAAAAAAAGTTTGGCAAAAGGTGGAATCAAACCCAGGTCGATCGCGTCAAAATGACAACAACTAGCACTTATCCATCTGCACCACTGGAGCTGATGTTTTACAGCCACTTTTAACTAAATGTAAATAGACACTCCGTATTTTTTGATTGACAGATGTCTCGTCTGAGTAATCCCAACCAATGGCACTGTCTCAAACTATACCTACCTTTTCCGGTTTGTCTGATTTGTCGTTGTGTTTTCTGACTTGTTAATTTGTTTTTGGATTTGTCCTTGTGCTTTCTGACTTGTTATTTTGTTTTCGAATTTGTCATCGTGTTTTCTGACTTGTTATAATGTTTTCTGAATTGTTGTTGTGCTTTCTGAATTGTTATTTAGTTTTTAGACTTGCATTTGCGTTTGTAATTTGTTATTTTGTTTTCAGAATTGTGATTTGCTTTGCACTTCTCGGCCACCGTAATTATACCATTTCTGCTTATAAAGTATAACCACTTTAAACATTATATATGTAAAGTGATTGCAATGTGAAAGTCGTTCAGTTTTTTGCATTACAATATAAAACCATTTTAGCAGTATTTGTTCAACGATTAAGGATTTTGTGCGATTTTTACATGACGCAAACTGTGTCCACAGGAATAACGGCAATAACATGTAGCAGAACTTCATTCATGTAGAAATGTCATCTCACCAATAAAAGGACAATTTAGACAACTTTATAGCTCAGAAAACAGCCAATTTGTTTCGAAATAATTAATATAAGCACTTTAGCAAGAATGCAATTCACACATCTGGAATGCCTTGCCCCATAGACCTCCATTATATATTTTTTCTACTGTAAGCATTTTGGTATGTTTTTACCAACTGAGAGACGATTCAAAATTACTTTCTGTAGATGTTGTCTTGTCCGTATAGCCTAACTTTATATTGAACCCAGATCACTCCTATAAATCTGTTTCCTATTTTATTTTTGAACTTGAGCATTATTATAATACAGACATTCATTGAATTTAAACAAATTTAAATTAACCATTTTAAATTGCAAAACATGCATTTGAAGACACATTCACGGAAAACAGGAAATCGTGCAGGTTTGAAACGACATGAGTAAATGATGACAGAATTTTTATTTTGGGGTGAGCTAATCCCTTAAGCCTCTAAGAAACATTATTTGATTTGTCCCAGACATGTGGCTTGCTCCCATGAAACACCTGCAATCACAACAGAGTTTGTGCGATAAATCAGATGAAGTTCATCTCAGCCTTCCCCGCACCAGCACTGGCAGCTTTCTGTGTGTTCTGGAATGATGTTTGTTGTGCTTTTGACCTGACAGCACCCGGTCACATGGCAGCCCTCCAAAGATGGAGATCGACTCATCGGCAGGATTCTGCTCAACAAGCGCATGAAGGACGGCAGCGTTCCCCGCGACTCTGGAGCTCTTCTGGGACTGAAAGTGAGTCGCTCCGCCTTCCTGTGTGGGCATGATCTTTATGTGAATTTGATTTCACATGTGGTTGTGTAGTTCAGTAATGGCAGTAATTCATTCCTGCTTTAGTATAGTTCACCCAAAAATGAAAATGTACTGAAATTTGCAAAGATGTAGATGAGCTTGTTTCTTCATTGGAACAGATTTAGAGAAATTTAGCATTACATCACCTTGACCACCAGTGGATCCTCTGCAGTCAATGGGTGCCGTCAGAAACAGCTGATAAAAACATCCCATTAACCCACAAGTAATCCACTCCAGTCCATCAATTACCACCTTGCATGATTGTAAAAAAAAAAGTTAAAATACAAGCCCTCTATCTGTAATATTGCTTTCTCCAGTGAAAAATTTGCCTCATCTGAATCAGGACAGAAATATGCACAAATCAAGCACATGCAAAAACAGCCAAAAGCAGCTCCAAGCAAATATTATGATATTCTCCAAATCTGTTCCAGTGAAGAAACAGACTCATCTACATCTGGGTAGGTACATTTTTTTTTTACCCTTTTTTTCCATGAACTATTCCTTTAATACAAACTCTGTCGAGAACATTTATGTTGAATACTACAGAAAAAAATAATTTCCTACCATTTTTAAAATCCAGAAATATCCATTGTGGGTCTTCTAGAGAAATTAAACATGGCCATGAACTTTAAAGGGTTAAAATCATAAAAGTTAAAATTGTAGAGTGGGACTGTTCATTTTAAAAGTGGAATAAGTTATAAAAAATATTATTACTTTAATTATTACTTGAAATAATGAGCACTGATAAAATAAGGTCAAAAAATATTCTAATATTTAAAATTAATCTTAAGGTTCCGAAAGTTTTTTTTTTTGGTTCCCCAAACAGTTCTCCAGTCCATCAATTACCACCTTGCATGAAATCAAGCACATGCAAAAACAGCCCAAAGCAGCTCCAAGCAAATATTATGATATTCTCCAAATCTGTTCCAGTGAAGAAACAGACTCATCTACATCTGGGTAGGTACATTTTTTTTACCCTTTTTTTTCCATGAACTATTCCTTTAATACAAACTCTGTCGAGAACATTTATGTTGAATACTACAGAAAAAATAATTTCCTACCATTTTTAAAATCCAGAAATATCCATTGTGGGTCTTCTAGAGAAATTAAACATGGCCATGAACTTTAAAGGGTTAAAATCATAAAAGTTAAAATTGTAGAGTGGGACTGTTCATTTTAAAAGTGGAATAAGTTATAAAAAAAATTATTACTTTAATTATTACTTGAAATAATGAGCACTGATAAAATAAGGTCAAAAATATTCAATTAACTTTAAAATTAATCTTAAGGTTCCGAAAGTTTTTTTTTTTGGTTCCCCAAACAGTTTTTGGTTCAGTGAACAGTTTCTCATTTTTTTCTTAGTATGAAGAATCTGAATAATCTTTTTCCATTATAAAGAACCTTTTGCGCAATCAAGGTTCTTTGAATGTTAAAGGTTCTTCACAGAACCATCAATGCCAATAAAGAACCTTTATTTTTAATAGTGAATGCATATTACTTTTAACAAATGTGCATTGAGAAAGTCTAAAGTTTAATAGTAATTTATTGTTGACATTAAAAGAGCAAAAAAACAAGGTTACAGTAAAGCTCTTACAGTGGAAGTAAACAGAGCTGTGCACTTCCAGGGTTTAAAAGCAGAAATGCAAAGCATGTATTTGTTGTTAAAGCACTTACATGGATTGTTCAGCGGAGTGGAGAAAAACAGAGAATCGTTACTGATAACAAACTTTCTGAATGGCTGACTGTGTGTCAGCTAACCTTTATTTTTAATAGTGAATGCATATTACTTTTAACAAATGTGCATTGAGAAAGTCTAAAGTTTAATAGTAATTTATTGTTGACATTAAAAGAGCAAAAAAAACAAGGTTACAGTAAAGCTCTTACAGTGGAAGTAAACAGAGCTGTGCACTTCCAGGGTTTAAAAGCAGAAATGCAAAGCATGTATTTGTTGTTAAAGCACTTACATGGATTGTTCAGCGGAGTGGAGAAAAACAGAGAATCGTTACTGATAACAAACTTTCTGAATGGCTGACTGTGTGTCAGCTCAGTGCTACCATGTGCATTATATCCTTTACCAGCAGCAGTTTGTCAAACGCACACACACACACACACACACTCACAATCGCCCTCAGCTCCATTCCACTCATTATGTAAAGCCATCTTTATCCAGGAGGCAGCTCGTAATCTTCTTTGTATGTTTGCATTGGGCTGCCATTAGTGAGGATTTGATTTGTATGATGCTCACAGAACGATTGGTCACGTGGTTTATGGAACAGACCTCCAGGCCTTTTCCAACAGTCGGTTCTTTCAAAAGCATGGACAGAAATAACATACACACCCTCGAAAGTCTCACTTTTTATTGTTCAGTGTAAACTTGTGCAGTTTATTTTGAAACCGATTATTCTTTCTGAACTCTAGTATCACAACAAAATCTGACATGAATAAAAAAGCCAAGAACTATTAAATATGTTTACTATATTGACTTTTGTAGCTTATTTTAACATTAGCAACATGAAGCCTTTATTATAGGGTCGTGATACCTACAACGGCAGTGAAATTTCATTGGCATTTCTTGGTAGAAATGTTGGCACAACAGCAAAAACTAATATGCTGTTGTTTCAGCATGACTAGTTCATTATCTAAACATTTTACTTTGTCTTTTACAGGTGGTTGGAGGAAAGATGACAGAGTCCGGAAGACTTTGTGCGTTCATCACCAAAGTAAGGAAAGGGAGTTTAGCGGATACAGTTGGGCATCTCAGACCAGGTACATGCTATGTTTCAGTATTTCATATATACTACCATTCAGCGGTTTGGAGTTTTTTTTTGTTTTGTAATAACGTAAACTTTTTAATGCCACTTTATTGTCACTTTTGATCAGTTTAAAATATTTTTTTTAATCGTGACTTAGACATGTGGGGGCGTGTTAGAACGAGCCGTTTTAGGAGGGCGTGGTTGACTCTTAACTTTTATAAAGAATATCTCTTTGGATTTGAGACTTTAGTCTTTGCAACTTTACAGATCTTCTTTATGCACCAAGAGCTTGTAACACTCCAAAGAGAAAGGAAAAATTTAAATCGCATCATATGAGCCCTTTAAAACAATAACAAATAATGTCATGAAACTCAAGAACCAAATTAGAGGGCTGTGGGCTGCACTTTGGGAAACTCTGCTCTAGACAATGCACAGGAAATATTCAATCCTTAGATTTAAAAGTATATCAGAGTCTTGAGCATTGAAGCTCATCACTAATTTCCCAATCTCTGAGGAAGAGATTGCAGTAAATGGCATTCTAGTGAAAATACTAAAAGAAATCAAAATGGTCCAGTGCAGTATGTTCTATAGCCAATTGTCTTTAGATTGAATCTCCTTTCGGCTTTCTTAGTGTTGCATTAACAACTGGTATTGTCATTTCAGGTTTCAGTTTTATTGCATTTCTCTTCATTGTTGTTTTTCATTCACTTTACTTACCCAGAGCCAAAGCCTTAGTAGAAGAATTGAGCCTTTTAACCCTAAAGTTCAGGTAATTGTTGCTGTCTACTAAATACACTTCTCTTCTATTGCTTTAATTCATTGGATAACGCACAGTAGAAAAATGACTGCATTTCCAATTGTTTATTATCTCAGTTTGAGCATTCGAAGACTTCTTTACCTATTCATTGTTGTTGCTGTTTTAAGCGTAATTTATCTGATTGTAAGGCATAAATCATATGCATGCAATGAATTAGCACAAAAATAACACACACACACACACACACACACACATATATAAATTTTTTTTAAAAATTATTATTAGTTCTAGATTTTTAATTTTTTTTTAATATTACTATTTAGGTTTTATTTTTTAGGTTTAATTTATTTTTATTTCAGTTTGGTGTTAGTTTGCATTTATTTCCAGTTAGTAACTTTAGCTTCTGCTTGAGCTTCAATTAAAATTTTTTGTTATATTCCAAGGCAACATTTCTATTTATTTCATTTCAGTAATATTTCAGTTCATAACTTTTTTTTTAATAATTAGCATTAATAACCCTGTGGGATGCTATGTCCCACAATGCAATTCGACAATTTTTATTTTTATTTATTTATTTTTTTTTTACTCTCAGTATGATTTGACTGCCAAGATAAACATTTTAATACAAAATTGGAGCAGTATGCAGTAAGCACTATGCTAGTATTCCTTTCTGAAAGCAGCCTATGAGTAGATCTTACATGTCTCGCTTAACATTCCCATGGCATTCTTCAGCTTGTAGAGTTCAGTGTTTGTTCCAGGGTTCTTTTACCATGATGGTAAATAAAAACAGTTTGAATCATTGTTTCTCCAGTGACAAAAGCAAAAGAAGAACAAAAACGGTAAAGAAATCTCTAGAGCCCAAATGGAACCAGACCTTTATGTATTCCCCCGTCCACCGGCGGGAGTTCAGGGAACGCATGCTGGAGATCTCGCTGTGGGACCAGGCCCGGGTGCGAGAGGAGGAGAGTGAGTTCTTGGGAGAGGTGAGGACAAGATGAATCATGGTGTGAAATATACAGAAGTTCAGGCTTCTTCTACCAGTTGATCACTTTTTTTTGTATTTGCGTGATATTTAGTGGCAGATAAATCTAAAATTGATCTTGCTACAATAATAGATCTAACTAGTGACAGTTTAGATCACAAAATAGTTTGCATAAATAATGACAATAGTAATACTAATCATTATTTTTATCAAAATTAAAATATTTCTAATGCATATTGTGTTATTGTTGTAGTTAGCTGTTAAATCACGCAGTCACATTCAAAATCTCAAATTTAGAGGTTCAGTGACATGTTGTCATGCATTTGAGTGTGAAACAAATGTTTGTGTGTAGATCCTCATAGAGCTGGAATCAGCGCTGCTGGACGATGAGCCGCACTGGTATAAGCTACAAACACATGACGTCTCATCGGTACCCCTGCCCAAGAGCTCCCCCTGCCTTCAGAGACGAGCGCTGCATGGAGACAGTCCCACACGCAGACTGCAGAGTATGTCTCTCTCTATCTCCCTCTGTCTCTCTCGCTCACATCTTTTATGCACACAAAGCAGAAACATATGACAGAAAATCTCAGGTAAATGTACTGCTCATATATAACTATTTAGCATTTTTGTATATAACAATAACTGCTTGTACTGCAGAATGTGTGGTTTCCTGTCACAAAACAGTTTCTAAGCATCTTTTCTAAAGTCTTGCTCCATTAATGTACTCTACAGTTGTATGCAAGCACTAATGCTTCATAGGATTACCTTCAAATATCTTTTATTAACCTGGATATGTTATTTTGCCAATATACTGAATATTCACAATATATTCCTGATGTGATTTGACTATTAAAAAGTGATTTACTTAAATGTACTCACCTTCAGGCCATCCAAGATCTAAGTTAATTTGTTCATCAGAACAGATTTGGGGAAATTTAGCATTACATCACTTGCTCACCAATGGATCCTCTGTAGTGAACGGGTGCCGTCAGAATGAGAGTCCAAACAGCTGATAAAAACATCACAATAATCCACACCACTCCAGTTCATCAATTAACGTCTTGTAAAGTGAAAAACTACATGTTTATAATAAACAATTCAACTCAACATTTATTTATACAGCACATTCAAAACCAGAAGAATGGACCAAAGTGCTGCACAGAGATAATTTAAATTGTACAACGAAATCACCCAAAAGCCAAACAAGTCCACCATAAAGGTATTTTAACTTTAAACCATTGGTGGTGTGGATTACTTGTGGATTATTGTGATATTTTTATCAGCTGGGTGACGGCACCCATTCACTGCAGAGGATCCTCTGGTTAGCAAGTAATGTAATGCAAATTTTTTCCATATCTGTTCCGATGAAGAAACAATTATATTTATATTATATTTATATTTTTAGCAAATATAAAGATTTTGAAAGTATCAAAAATCAATTGAAAGAGACAGATTTTGGGTGAACTATTTCTTTACTCATTTTAACATTTGTATCTCTAGTTTTCTTAAAGACCATGTGATTAGTTTTGCGATTCTTTCTTGGAAATTGTATGACAAGATTTAGGCAAAAATGTTAAAGTATCTATGATTTGAACTTCAGTAGCCAAAGAATCATTTCAGAATGAATAAACACGTGAAAATAGCTTGAGTTTCATGCTTTCATAGAGTACTGTATGTTTCGGGCCCAAGACCACACACATTCATAAGCACTCAGTCATCTGAGCTGAAATCTGAAACACTACAGCTGTTGATTTGAGCGTTTGTGTCCTGCATTCATTGTTTTCTATCTTGACCTGGTTATTTCTGCAGCCAAAGGCCCGTTTGTGTACAGCTCAGGTAATGACCGCTGCATGCTCAGGCTGATCCTGTGTGTTTTTATACTGGATCCACCCTGCTGTCCCTCTCACTCCCGTCAAAAACGAAACAAACACTGACCGAAGTGGACCATGTCCTCACACTGCCACTTTTTCCCATAGTGCCCTCTGAGTCTCCCCAGTGCTGCTGTTTTTCCCTCTTTGTTGCAGATCAGTCCGATCTCTTCATATACACTGTAGTGAACACAGGCTTCTGTCTACTGTTATCATTACTTGTAGAAGGGCTGGATGGTATGAGGAAAATTCGTATACAGCATTATTAATTTTACGTTATGGTAATGGTCACAATATAAATATATTGGGTAGAAATTAAACAATTAAAAAATGTCTATAAACTACAGTTCAAAAGTTTGTGCTCGGTGAGATTTTTTTTTTTTTAATGTTTTTGAAAGAAGTCTCTTATGCTCACAAAGGCTACATTTATTTAATTAAAAATACATTCAAAACTGTACTATTATGAGACATTATTCCATTTTAAAATAACTGTTTTCTGTTTGAATATATTTTAAAATGTAATTTATCCCTGTGATGCAAAGCTGAATTTTTAGCATCATTACTTCAGTCTTCAACCTCACATGATCCTTCAGAAATCATTCTAATATGCTGATTTGCTGCTGAAAAAACATTTCTTATTGTCATAATATTCTTCTTATTATGTTGAAAACAGTTGTGCTTCTAAATATTTTTATGGATACCATGATACTTTTTTCAAGATTCCCTGATAAATATAAAGAGGAAAGAATAAAGTTTTCCTGTCAGTTCTGATCAATTTAATTTAACCTTCACTGACCTCAGACTTTTGAACAAAAGAGTTCATTCATTTATCATGTGTTAATTTTGCCTTTTTTATTATTTGGAAGTTGATGGGCGCAAACCAAAATTGATCACTATTCATTACAAATGATTAACATTAGCTATTTACTTCTCATAATTGCAACTTCATTTCTCTTAACAGCAAATGTATATTCATACATCAGAAATACAAAATGATATCTCACAATGTGACTATTTCCTTTTTTTTAAACTTTATCTCTATAAACTTTAAAATATATATATAACTTTATATGCATACACAGGCACATCAGACCGTAAAAACGTATATCTTTAATCACTCCTTTTGTCAACATTTTTCGTGCAAATATATATTCTACTGTATAAATGGTAAAGAGAAAACACTACACTTTTCTATCATTCTGCGATAAATGCCATCATGCAACCCAGTCCTAGTTGGTCGTTTTCCCTCCCTTTGTAGTTACTAATTCTGCATAGCTGTGATAAATAATATAATATCTAATATCCCGCCTTTGTGTGAAATGCCTTTGAATTAATTTAGTTTCTTCTCTTTTAAGAGTGAGTTTTCTTGGTTTTTGGTTGCTGTGTGGTTTTGTAGTTGCAGCACCTGTTTTGTAAGCATTCAAAGAGACAGAAGCAAAGAAAAATCCTCACAAATCATATTCACTCCAGTAATTTTCTCTTCACTGACAGCAGTTAGCTAATCGTTTTGAAAAGTGTCACTAAAGAGCCATCTTTTTTAATATGCTCCGACATAATTAGGATATTATAAAAACATCCCTTACAAAGATTTAACATATAAACTGGTTCAACTGGATGATGGGTGGTTATTAATAATGCAGATTTTGCACTTACTTTAAGCTTCTGACATTGATGCATTGCACTCCATAAGAGAACTCTTATATGTGTAACCCTAACAAATCAGTAGGACAGGTCGCAAGAAAACATCAAGTGATCCTTTATAAGTTTGTGAATCTCTTTTGACACTTCGGTGTACGAGTGTTTGATTTAGTGATTTAAAGAGACTGATTTATAGACCAGAGAGCTGAAGGAGAAAAGAGGACAGGCGAACGAAATGAGAGCAGGTTTATTGCTGGCTTGTCATCGGCATTAAAGCGCAAGGGTCTGTTTGGTGGGCGAGCGCAGGCTTGGGTGTCCGTTCTGGCTGTAGTTGTGTGAACGCCGCTCGGTAGATTAGCTTTCATTCTTGATCTGAACTGAGTGATGGAGCGGCCGCTTCAGAGTGTCAAACTCGGCAGACGTCAGCGCTGTGGGCTGAGGGACGCCGTTCAGCTCGGTTTGTTCCTCGTGACTGAAGCGAAGGGAGAAGAAGATCCATTTTCTCACGTAGTACAAAGCTCAGTCTGCCTCGTTCTTGTTTTGTGGATTTGGAAGAGAGAGAGATGTCTGACTGACGTGTTCAGTTATCTGTGAGTAGTCTGAAATAGACAGGCATTTCGAGTGCAGATAGCTTCTTTAGCACTTTTTATGAGCATCACAGAGGAAGATGAATGAACAGCAGTGTTTGTCAGTTGTGGTTAAGCAGTTATGTTCCAAAACGTAGTGAGCTGCCTACCTAGACAGCGATTTAGGGCATCAGGAATATTTTATCAGTGTTGTTTTTTAAGACATAAAAAAACAAAACTATTAAATCTAATTTTAGCTAATTGAAATAAAGCTGATGTGAAAATAAATAAATAAATAAATGTGACCGTGGACCACAAAATCAGTCATAAGGGTCCATTTTTCGAAATTGAGATTTATACATCATCTGAATAGATAAACTTTCCATTGATGTATGGTTTGTTAGGATAGGACAATATTTGGCCGTGATACAACTATTTGAAAATCTGGAATCTGAGGGTGCAAAAAAATCTAAATATTGAGAAAATCGCCTTTTAAAGTTGTCCAGATGAAGTTCTTAGCAATGCATATTACTAATCAAAAATTAAGTTTTGATATATTTACAGTAGGAAATTTACAAAATATCTTCATGGAACATGATCTTTACTTATTATCCTAATGATTTTTGGCATAAAAGAAAAATCAATAATTTTGACCCATACAATGTATTTTTGGCTATTGCTACAAATATACCCCAGCGACTTAAGACTTAAGACTTTTGTGCTCCAGGGTCACAAATATTAGATGGAAAAACTTTGAATTAAAAAATAAATGGAATGAAAATTAGAAATTTTGTCTTGGCAAATTGCTGAAATAATCTTAAGTATACTGAAATTACAAAACAATTACAAAATAAAAAAATCTAATAAGATCAAATATTTTAAATGAAAACAGAAATATAAAAACATATATAAAAAAAAAGAGTTTAAAAAGGGTAACATTGAGATTGTGACAATTATAATGACAACTAATGTCAACTATAAATATTATTTTTCATTCATTCATTCATTATATTTCATTCATTTCCTGAAAAGAGCTGATAAAAATAGTTCTGTTTTAATTAAATAATAATTTAAATAAAAGTTTAAATAGAAATATTAACCAATACTTGAAGGAGAAACATTTATTTATTGATTGATTGATTAATTGACTTATATTTTGTATTTGTGTAGGCTGTAGATAGAAAACTCATGAGATTTTGCAACAGAGCTGTTATATAAATATGCTTTTAGTGCAGAAACCATAGAATGCTACATCACATGATCCCGTCTCGCTACAGACCGCTCTAACACTTGTCTCTCTGTGTGTCTGTTTTTCTGCTGTAGGGTCTCAGAGGATCAGCGACAGTGAGTTCTCAGACTATGACTGTGAGGATGGTGTTGGCGTCCTATCAGGTAAGATGTTAGCAGGAACACGGTGAAAATGACACCGTCTGACAGAGGTGGTGAAGACGTTAACTGCTAAATGTGTTCAATATAAAGTCACTCTTTGCCTTTGAAAACAAACATCTCAGAACCATGGTTATTTCCAAATGATGATGACTGGAGGTATGCAATGTAATGGGGTAATGTGAAAAAAAAAAAAAAAAAACCAAAAAAAAAATATATATATACACACTATAAATAAATGTATTATGAAGAAATTTTCTGTATGTATAGGTGTTTTACCTATATTTTTGCACTTCATTATGCTGTGTTTTAGGCTTAATGTAAATGTCTTTTGCAGTTTCTTTTTTTTTGTTGCTTTTTTGTATTGTTTTATGCATTAGTGTATTAGTATAGTATAAACTGCAGTGGCGGCTCGTGGGTTTTAAAATAGAGGAGGCACACTAATTGTATTGGTCTGGGATCCCTGCCGATTATTATTATTATTATTATTATTATTATTATTATTATTATTATTATTATTATTATTATTATTATTATTATTATTATTATTATTATTATTATTATTATTATTATTATTATTATTATTATTATTATTATTATTATTATTATTATTATTATTATTATTATTATTATTATTATT